CTGACTCTGACTCACAAGGCCTCCTTGAAAAAAAAATGGTTTTATGTTCAGTCAGGTCTTTCAACACAGTGTGTTTACTTTAGAAGCTTTTATCTCCTTTAGTCACACAAAGGATACTGGATACACAAAGGTAAATTTAGTCACACAAAGGATACTGTTGCATGCTTTCGCAGGTTATTAATAGAACAGGAGATAGGAAATTCTAAATTACACACACTATGCAACAAGGGATGCTAACAAATAGTAGACTCTTTCTGGAAGTGTGGTGGCTGTGTAAGACTCAGTCATGGCAGGTATAACTAGGGATATATAAACAGACTCAGTCATTGCAGGTATAACTAGGGATATATAAACAACAAAGTAATTTAACTTCTAAATGGTAGAGATTTTTGGCTGATCTATATACCAAACCGACTTAATTAAGCCAAAGTTGTTTTGGTGCTTAGAGTGTCCTTTAAGCTTCCTATTGCAATATCTACCAGTAATTGTATAGAATTCCACCTGCAGGAGTTTCTGTAAATTGTGTGAAGGAAGATGAGGAAAGGGGGCCTCCTTGCCCCGTGAGGTATTTTGTTATAATGCGTAAAGAAACACTGCATAGGAATGCAAAGCTGTATTCCTAACACTATAGTGCCCCTTTGCCTCCCCCCAGCTGTTAAAAAGTTAAATAACCCTTTAAACTCTTACCTTATTTCAGCACCAAGGTCCCTCTGCATTGGCTCCGTCTCTGCCTCCTCCAACGTCAGGATCTCGAGGGGAATCCTAATGCGCATGTACGGCAAGTCCTGCGCAAGCATCAGGCCTTCTCCATAGGAAAGCATTGAATCAATGCTTTCCTATGGGGGTTTGAAGAGCGGTCTGCGTGCCGATAGTGTCCCTTTAATGTGTCCATTCAAAGATCCCACTCCAATATGGAATTTCCTACTAGTTTATCAACCCTGAATCTAGATTTAACTGCTGAGGCTAAAGAAACAGGGCATTCTGTTTTAGAGCAGATTGTATTTATGAAAAGGAACGCTATAAATCCTCAAGGAGTTAAAAATAATATGACTACGGTATATCCCTTTGTTCAACAAGTACATCAAAACAGAATGTACCAAGAGTCCACTTAATATTTGGGGCTGAAGTTTTTGGCCCTGCTTGACCGATTCTTTGGAATTCTCTCCTATGCATACTCAAAGAATCTGCTATAATTGAAATATTCTTTCGTTTTATGCAAGCCTTTGAATAAGACCCATCTGTGAATTTTAAAACTTTAATTTGAACTTCTATTTATGCATAAAACTGTAGTTTCTTGAACTTGCCTAGAAACAAAGTGGTAGATAAATCGTAATGTATTCACAATGTATTCTTGTCTATATTGTCACGAGGACAGGGCTTAATTTAGTAGACAATTATGAAGTTTTAGAGCCAGCTACATCGCTGTTGGAACTTGACACATCCAAGTTTTACCTATCACCTGTGACTCCTCTGTCAGCTGGGGACAAATTTGGTTTCCATCTGCTGAATGATGAGTTGTGTTGACTGCACTCAATTTGATGTCCTGAAATGGGACACAGATCCAAGATAAGTTTGAAAACTAAAATGGTCTAAAAAGGTCTCTTTAATTTGGCCCTGTGATTTGTGACATATGTATGCAGGGCCGCCATCAGAAATTGTGGGGCCCCTAACACAGCTCAAGGTCTGGGCCCCCGGGTGCCCGCCTCCAAATCCCCCCCACAGGAATACCCACACAAAGACACAAAAGGACACAGACACACACACAGAAAGATACACACATACTAACAGACACAAATACTGAAACAGACATACACACATATAGACACATACACAGATACAGATACACTCACACACACACACATACTGACATACAGACACACACACTGACGTACATACATACTCACACACTGACACACAGATACAGACATACTGACAAACAGACATACAAACTGACATACATACACATACATACATACTGACATACATACATAATGGCATACATACACATACATACTGATATACATACATGCGCACACACACACACACACACACACACACACAGATAGATATATACATACACAGATACATACAGACATACTGACATACACACATACATACATACATACATGCATACTGACATACATACTAATAGATATATACATACACACATACATACTGACATACACACACACACACTGACGTACATACATACTCACACACTGACACACACATACAAACTGACATACATACATAATGGCATACATACACATACATACTGATATACATACATGCACACACACACACACACACACAGATAGATATATACATACACAGATACATACAGACATACTGACAGACATACAAACTGACATACATACACATACATACTGATATACATACATACACACACACACACACACAGATAGATATATACATACACAGATACATACAGACATACTGACATACTGACATACACACACACATACATACATACATACATACATGCATACTGATAGATATATACATACACACATACATACTGACATACACACACACACACATACATACTGACATACACACACACATACAGATAGACACATACACACACAGACATACATGCATACTGACATACATATACACATACATACTGACATACATACACAGACATACATACATACATACTGACATACATGCATACTGACATATATGCATACTGACATACACACAGACATACATACTGACACACACACATACTTGCAGACACATACACAGACATACATACATACTGACAAACAGACATACATACAGACATATATACATACTGACATACACACACATACACACATACATACAGACAGACATGCATACTGACATACATACACACAAACATACTGATACACACACAGACATATATACATACTGACATACACACTGACATACACACACAGACATATATACATACTGACATACACACAGACATATATACATACTGACATACACACAGACATACTGACACACACGCATACTGACTGACATACATACACACATACATACTGACACACACACAGACATATATACACACTGACATGCACACACACAGACATATATACATACTGACATACATACACAGACATACATACTGACACACACATAGACATATATACATACTGACAATACACACACAGACATACATACTGACATACATACTGACACACACACACACATACTTGCAGACACATACACAGACATACATACATACTGACAAACAGACATACATACAGACATATATACATACTGACATACACACACATACACACATACATACACACAAACATACTGACACACACACAGATATACACACTGACATACACACACAGACATATATACATACTGACACACACACAGACATATATACATACTGACAATACACACACAGACATACATACTGACATACATACTTGCAGACACATACACAGACATACATACATACATACAGACATATAAACATACTGACATACACACACATACACACATACACGCATACATACAGACATACATGCATACTGACATACATACACACAAACATACTGACACACACACAGACATATATACATACTGACATACACACTGACATACACACACAGTCATATATACATACTGACATACACACAGACATACTGACACACACAGACTGACTGACATACATACACACAGACATACTGACACACACACAGACATATATACACACTGACATGCACACACACAGACATATATACATACTGACATGCACACACACAGACATATTTACTGACACACACACAGACATATATACATACTGACAATACACACACCGACATACATACTGACATACACAGACATACATACTGACATACACACACACAGACGGACATATATACATACTGACATACACACAGACATACATACTGACATACACACACACCGACATACATGCATACTGACATACATACACACATACATACTGACACACACAGAGATATATACATACTGACATGCACAGACATACATACTGACATACACACACACAGGCATATATACATACTGACACACACAGACACACATACTGACATACACACACAAACATATATACATACTGACATACACACAGACATACATACTGACATACATACACACATACATACATACTGACATACATACACACATACATACTGACACACACACAGACATATATACATACTGACATACACAGACATACATACTGACATACACACAGACATACATACTGACATACACACACACAGACGTATATACATACTGACATACACACACACAGACATGCATAAGGACATACACACACACAGACATACATACATACTTGCAGACACATACATACACACACTTCATTTATCAGCCACCCTGCTCTTACCTTTAAGTTGCAGGAGAGTGGCTAGGGATGATGGGAGTGGATGCCTCTGGTGTCCTCTCCTGTCCTCTGCTCTCACTCTCCTCCGTTCTCCCTCTCCCCCCGCACGGAGTAAGCCGTCACTTCCTCAGAGCAGCACTTGCGCTGTAGCCGCAATTTTTTTTTTTTTTTTAAAGGGGCCCGGTCGCGCAATTACACGGCCGCAGCGCTGACAGGACTCTCTACAGGAAGTGTTTAGGAAGGCTTTGTAAGTCACATGCAGGGAGGTGTGCCTAGGGCTGCATAAACAAAGTGATTTAACTCCTAAACAGCAGTGAATTGAGCAGTGAGAAAGCAGGGCCATGATCTATGCACCAAAACTGCTTAATTAAGCTAAAGTTGTTTTGGTAACTATAGTGTCACTTTAATGTCAATTTATTTCTACGTTGCATGGCCACTTTTAGTTTTGTGTTTTTATTATTTTACTATTTGTCTGTTAAGTGCTGAAACAACAATTATAATAATAATATTTTCTTCTCTTCCTTCCTCTCTTTCCCCCTACCAATAATTCTCCTCTGTTGCCATCTATTCTCTATCTAGTCAGATCTTACGAACCTACATCATCTTTCTTTTCCTTACCCTTGCCCTTTTCCCCTTATTTTTCCTACAGCCTCGAAAGAACCAACCAATCCTGGTATTACAGAATAGCACCATCCTTAGGAATGGAGCAGGACAGATTGAAAAGTGGCCGCTGACCAAGGGCTAGTTGGAGCCAGCCTCCAACATGGCAAATGGCAGTGAGTCAGAGGAGCTTGCTGGCTCTCTTGCCCAGTCAACAGCAATTTCCACACATCTCAAACTGGTTCTACTGGGTTTCATTATTTGTGCCAGTTTGGCGGGCAATCTCCTGGTTTCTCTACTGGTGCTGAAAGACCGCTCGTTGCACAAGGCTCCCTACTACTTCTTGCTGGATCTTTGTCTTGCCGATGCTGTTCGATCCTCTGCTTGTTTTCCGTTTGTCCTGCTTTCCATCCGCAATGGTTCAGCTTGGGCCTACAGTCTGCTGAGTTGTAAAGTTGTGGCATTCATGGCTGTCCTCTTCTGTTTCCATGCCTCATTCATGCTATTCTGCATCAGTGTTACACGCTACATGGCAATTGCCCATCATCGATTCTATTCTAAGCGAATGACACTCTGGACGTGCATTGCAGTCATCTGCATGGTCTGGACACTGTCAGTTGCTATGGCCTTTCCACCAGTCTTCGATGTAGGCACCTACAAATTCATTCGTGAAGAGGACCAGTGCATTTTTGAGCATCGATACTTTAAGGCCAATGATACCCTCGGATTTATGCTGATGCTAGCAGTTCTCATTGTTGCTACGCATATTGTCTATGCTAAACTTCTCCTTTTTGAGTACCGCCATCGTAAAATGAAGCCAGTACAGATGGTCCCAGCCATCAGCCAAAACTGGACATTTCATGGCCCTGGGGCTACAGGGCAGGCCGCTGCCAACTGGATAGCTGGATTTGGAAGGGGGCCTATGCCACCCACTTTATTGGGTATTCGTCAAAATACCCACACTGCCAACAGGCGTCTTTTGGGAATGGATGAGTTCAAAAGTGAGAAGAGGTTGGGGCGGATGTTTTATGGGATTACCCTCAGCTTTTTGGTGCTCTGGTCGCCCTACATTGTGGCCTGTTATTGGAGGGTTTTTGTCAAAACCTGCAGCATCCCCCATCGATACCTGTCCACTGCAGTTTGGATGACATTCACTCAGGCTGGGGTCAACCCCATCATGTGTTTTCTTCTCAACAAAGACCTGAAGAGCTGCCTTCAGCTCCACATCCCCTGCTGGAGGACGAAAGCATTGCTACCTAGGGAGCCTTACTGCGTAATGTAAGAGGGGACAACAATACTCCCAAACCACACCCTAACCTCAGTGATCGGGACAAATGGACATACTCTTTGAGGAATTGGTCTGTTTGACTATTTCACAGTCATGAAGACGCACACAAAATAACAATAGAAATCTGAAAAGACTTTTTTTTAAATGTTCCTTTTTTCTAGACCAAGATGTATTTGTGATCCAGACAAAATGAGGACTTCAGGGGAGGGGATATGTGTGCGAGAATTTCTGGGATGTTTTTCTATTTCACCTATTGCAAAGGGAAGAAGGGTGATGGATGGGTGGTGGGAGGAGATGAAGGGAATGCAAAGTGTATTAGGTGGGAGGGAAAGGGAAGGATTGATGGGAATTTATGTATTTGTTAATGAACTTATTTATTGACATGGTTATAATGCCAACCACTTGTATGAACGTCTTTTGACTGACATGAATGTAAGAGAAATCGTTTTCTATTGCATTAGTACGTTCGCAAGATGTGACTATCAAGCGTGAGGAAAAAAAAATGAAATATGGTCATCGGAAACTAATGAATTTTAAATGCTGTTTGAAGTACTCAAAACAAGTTTTCAAATATTTACACAATGTAGAATTTTTACCCATGCTAAGTGAAAAGCCACAAGAGGAAACACAGATCAAAAGGCCCAATACCAGCAGGTGGAGTAAACCCCTTGGCAAAAAAGAAAATCATCACATAGTTTAAATATACAAAGTACCACGTTTAGGAACCAATTTTAAGCCTGATAATCAAAAACATAGATGCCTTATGTCTGCTTCATTGCTTAAGTGCAAATAATTTTAGCCATGACTGGTAAATCCACCATATACACCTTCCAATGTCAATACTCCTGTTAGCTTAAAGGAACAATCCAAGCACCATAACAATTACAGTGCACTTTTGTGGTTATGGTGCTACGAGAGCCCTGCCCCCAACTATGCAAGTAGTCGAACCAGTGCGCTCCTGGCACCATAACTAATGCTGTAGTGGTTATGCTGCTTGGAGTGTCCCTTTACTAGCGTTGGATGTAAAGCAAAATTGTTATGAAAAAAAGGGCTAATCGGCACTGCCGAGCAAAGTAAAAATTGGATTAAGTGAAAGGGTGAAAAGGTGAAACAGTTCATGAACTACTTCGAGGTCATCAGTGAGAAGGAAACCTTGAAGGCAAAACATGTGCTATTCTAGGGCAAAGTGCTAAATGGTGAAGGACATTCCATTGGATCCCACGTAGGGCTGGCGTTTGCTTCAGGTCAATTTGGCGGCCGCCTAGGGTGCTTCTGAAGGCTCATTTGGGCTGTCCCTCTATCAAGTGTGACTATATATGTAGTGTGTGTCAAAGGCCATGGTACCGGGAGCTAAGTAACCCTTACATGGCTGCTAACTAGGGCCCGGCATCCACCTCAGTGTGCAAAGTAATTTACTTAGACCCAGGTCCCTCTCCCAGACATCTATGGCGACAGCTCAAAGGCGCATCATTCACTCGCTTCTGCCTCTTGCCCTGTACTTGGGGACATGTAGGCGAGAGGATAGCAGGAAGTGGGGCTGAGACACGGAGTATAATGGTCCTCCAGACTGCCAGGCACAGTCAAGATGACTGGAGCACACGGATAGCCAACTGATATATGAAATGAATGCAAGAGGGTTAACGGGACCTCACAGTGTGTGTTTTAGAGAATGTATGTCAGTCTGCTTCAGTCAGTATGTTTGTGTCTGCTTGAGTCAGTGTGTGTCAGTCTGCATGGGTCAGTGTGTGTCTGCTTGAGTCAGTGTGTGTCAGTCTGCATGGGGTCAGTGTGTGTCTGCTTGTGTCAGTCTGCATGGGTCAGTGTGTGTCTGCTTCAGTCAGTTTGTGTGTGTCTGCTTGAGTCAGTGTGTGCATCAGTCTGCATGGGTCTGTCTGTGTGTATCTGCTTGAGTCAGTGTGTGTATCTGCTTGGGTCAGTGTGTGTGTGCCTGCATAAGTCCATGAATTTATGTGTGCCTAGGGCACTGATTGTACGAGTGTGTGGATTGATTGTGAGTGAATGAGTAAGTTTGTGCATGCATAAGTGAATGTGTGTCAGTGATTGCATTTTTGCACAAAGGATAGTTTTCATTTTTTTATTTTTTTTAATCCATTTTTAAAGGGACACTATAGTGTTAGGTATATAAACCGGTATTTCGAATACTATAGTTTCTCTGTCCCTAGCAATGATTTACCTTGTGGGGTTAAACCTACAGGACAACAGCACCGAAACCACATCATTGAAATGGTGGTTCTTTAAATCATAGGAGATTATTATACATATGGTTACCAGATCCACCATGTTGTCAGGGACACATATCACGTACATATTGATGGGCAACACATAAAAAGGATTGCCCTGTAGTATGTAGAATTCAGAAGAAGGTGTATGAGATAAAGTAATTAGGGAATAAAGTATCCTGCAGAACATGCATTATACATACTGCAGGGCACCCTTTTCATGGTAACCCTAATTATACATGTATATTAATATATGTGTATTGTAATAATATTTACTGTGTACATATATATAAGCAGAAAATAAATCATACATAAAAGTTACTATAACACACATGTACAAGGATAAAACTGATATACTATGCCAGTGATAGACTGAAAGTGTGAGACTATCACTGAACACCTGGCTAAACCTTCTTTATCCTGTTGTTGTTATGGTGCTTGGAGTGTTCCTGTAATGAAATGTACAATTTGAACTATGCTTTAACAGGGTTATTCACCAAAGTGAAAATTGCGGGAATTCAAAAGGGAATTCGAGGGAATTTAAGAAGGCAAATATAGCCAAATTGTTAAAACAAATCTCTAATTCAGCCATGTTTGCCATTTGGCTATATTTACCTAAATATGAAATTCTCTTTGAATTCCTGACAATTCTATGTGATGTCATGACATGGGCAGATCAGATGAGTGGGGCACTGTGGTGGCACACCATGGGTGGAGTGAATGGGGTAGCAAAATAATTTCTTTCCATGGCAAATGCTACTTTTATTACTTTGCTCCAGAATAGCACCTGGTTTTTTTTCTTGATAAATTCCCCTTATATTGTGTAAAAATAATTCTGTATGTTTTTACTAGAAAATGTACCAATCACAAAATAACTGAAAGGGTAGAACAAGGTAGCAAATAAAATCTTGTATATATATATTGTGCTAGCCAAATCGAGATGTTGGGGAGAGACTAAACAACTAATCACGTGATGATTGGGGGTATTTTCTGGGTTCAAAGCACTCAGACACACTTTGTGTGCTCTAACTGGATATCTGATGTTGTTCATTGTTTTGCATTGAGCAGTCAGATCCCTAAAAGATAGGCCTGCGTATTGTTCTGCCTTGTAGATCTGTCATTGGGTACAACACAGGGAAAGAGATTGATCTCTTTAAGTGGTATTTGTTTCCCACATATATATCTATATGTTTATGGTATTGAATAGTTAAAAACATCTATTTGGGTCAAGGGTTAAATACAGTTAAATTGGCAGATACTAAGAGTCAAATTCTGGGTAGAGTCCACATTGGTATAAATTCAACTCTACTCTAACACAAAGTCCAGAGAAAATGTATAGGTATTTGAAGGTCATCTTGTCGTCCATATATTTTGTGGATAAAAGGCCTGCTTCAAGGGAAAAAACTGCTTGGAGAAGCCGATTGCCGCTAGGACAGGGAGACCTGGTGCTGGAGAGCAATCTTAAGGTAAGAAGCCTCTGAGCACCATAACTACTTAACGGTTCCTATATGGTTCCTTTAAGATATGGGATCTATTTTCCTCTGGGTTGCTCACATCTAAAAACTGGAATCACTAATACAATCATTTATTTGAGCACAGGCTCATCTAAAGGTATGTGTAGTGCATGATAAGTTTCTCTTATTACTGGGTTATACAAATGTATACACAAAAGGCAACTACAGGGGCTTGCTTGAATATTGTAGGAGCCATGAAAAGAATCCTCTTAGAAGTCAATGTGAAACAGCACAAGATGTTTAAATTAGAGATAACTAAAAATTTAGAGATCACGGATAATTCAGTCCTTAGATCTGCTCAAACCTAGTATAAGAGGTCTATTGATGGCTGAAGATCGGATCAAGTTGTGGGGGTAAAAACTAAACTCATCACGTAGATTAAAAAGTACACGCTGTTCTTTAAAAAGAGGATAAGTTCATTTTATAACCATCCTCTGCTTCGAGTGAAATGTTTATTATAACGTTCAATGGCTCTTAAACTAAATTACTTCCTTTCTTTAAGAGTCACTATTTCAATATTTTTTGTTTATTGAGGAGAGTGAAATACTGCAATACAAAATATGAATAATATTGCACAATATGTTACAATTCAACAAAGTATACAAGGAATAAGCAGCCAATTTTTTTGAAATAGGAAACATGAGTACAATGCATCTAGTATGTGGAGCCTAAGATCAGTGAATTAAGAGTTATCGTTAACTATTATAAAATCGCATTATTGATGCACATATAATAGCAACGGTTTTAAAGTCTCAACAGGATACAATATAAACAAAAAAAAAGAAGACATAAATAAATAGGACACTGCATGTAGAGACATAAGATAGCTTGAGTGTGCATAGGAAATAAAAAAATCAAAAAGAGAAAGACTTTGTTCAAATTTATACGCGAAAGGCACACATACAGGAGGATAAGTCCCATCATAAAAGTTGAAAGCAGGCACACTTAGAACCCCCATACATCTATCCAGTGGCGTACACATGACCCATGGGGCCCCGGTGCGAAAATTGATCCGTGGGCCCCCCCCGCGCGCGCGCGCGGGCCGGGCCGCAACACATGGCGGTGGGCACCTGGTCGCAGAGGTTACAGGGCTGCGACCGCGGTATGTACGCCAGTGCATGCAGATGCACACACACTTAAAGGACCACTCTAGGCACCCAGACCACTTCAACTTAATGAAGTGGTCTGGGTGCCAGGTCCAGCTAGGGTTAACCCATTTTTTCATAAACATAGCAGTTTCAGAGAAACTGCTATGTTTATGAATGGGTTAAGCCTTCCCTATTTCCTCTAGTGGCTGTCTCATTGACAGCCACTAGAGGCGCTTGCGTGCTTCTCACTGTGAAAATCACAGTGAGAGCACGCCAGCGTCCATAGGAAAGCATTATGAATGCTTTCCTATGTGACCGGCTGAATGCGCGCGCAGCTCTTGCCGCGCGTGCGCATACAGCCGACGGGGAGGAGAAGAGGAGGATCGGAGGAGGAGAGCTCTCCATGGCAGCTGGGCGTTTACCCCTTTTCCCCTTTCCAGAGCTAGGCGGGAGGGCCCCTGAGGAGTTTAAGGACCACTACAGACACCGTCCACATCCAGCTCAATGAAGTTGTCTGGTCCCTCTAGTTTAACCCTGCAGCTGAAAACATAGCAGTTTCAGAGAAACTGCTATGTTTCACCCCAATTAATCAACCTCAGCATTAGCTGTCACTGACAACAGAGGCCCACTAACGATCCATGGAAAGCATTGAGTAATGCTTTCCTATGAGCGGTTTGAATGCGTACGCTGAGGCTGAGGGATCCCCAGCGCCAAGGGAGTCCGGCGCTGGAGAAAGGTAAGTGCTGAAGACACACACACACACACACACACACACACACACTTACAGACGCATACACACTAGCTAACAGACACACATTTATTGACAGAGACACAGTCAGCGACAGACATACATACACACTCACTTACAAAACATACTCTCATTGACAAACACACACTCACTAACATACATCAAACAGACTCACTAACACACACACTCAGTAAGACATACACAGTAACACACTCACTGACACTCACTAGCAGACACACTCACTAGCAGACACACTCACTAGCAGACACACACACTAGCAGACACACACTAACACTCACACACACTCACACTGACACACACACTCACTCACACTCACACACACTAACACTCACTAGCAGACACACACACTAACACTCACACACACTAACATTCACACTCACACTAACACTCACTAGCAGGCACACACACTAACACTCACACTAACACTGACACACACACTAACACTCACACTGACACACACACTAACACTCACTAGCAGACACACACACTAACACTCACACACACTAACTAGCAGACACACACACTAACACTCACACTCAAATACTAACACTAGTTGTTTTTTTTTTTAAATGTAATCCCCCCAGCCTCCTTACCTTTTGGAGTGCTGGGGGGATTCCCTGGGGTCCAGTGGTGCTGCTGATACCTGGCAGGCGGGTGGCCGGTCGGGCAGGCAGGCGGGCGCGCGAGGGAGCACTTTGTGCTTCCTCTTCAGCTCCCTCGCGCACCGCACTGATACCGGAGCCGGAAGATGACGTCATCTTCCGGCTCCGGCATCCCTGCGCGGCGCGCGAGGGAGCTGAAGAGGAAGCACAAAGTGCTCCCTCGCGCGCCCGCCTGCCTGCCAGGTATCAGCAGGGCCAGCCTCGGGGTCGGCTCCTGGGCCCCCCAGGGGAAGAGGCTGGCCCTGGGCGTACATACCGGGTCGCAGGGGCGGCCGGGCCCCCTGGTGGGCCGGGCCCGGTCGCAGCCGCGACCCCTGCGACCCTGGTATGTACGCCACTGCATCTATCCAATTCCCAATCTGAAGATCAGCTGCCTGTATCACCTAATAGGAGAAAGCCTATAGCACCATTGTTCCTTTCGGCTTGGAAATATCATCACTTACTGGATGTTACTTACCTAAATGAATTGATAAGCATAATAATGGTTATGGGAGAATGGTACTTTTGAATAATACATTCCTTAATGTGACATTGCCTACAGGAAGCAGGACAAGGTATGTCTTCTATGGGACACATATACTATTTAATGCTGTAGGCCAGGGTTAGGCAACATTCGGCACCCCAGATGTTGTGGACTACATCCCCCATAATGCTCTTACACCCATAATGCCGGCAAAGCATCAAGGGATGTGTAGTCCAAAATATCTTGAGTGCCGAAGGTTACCTATGCCTGCTGTAGGCCTTATTTTACTAAGTGTAACTATACCTTATATATAGTTATTATATTTTCATTAATTACATTTAGCTTGTGACTTCATACACACCCATGTCAGTAGAGTAAACAAGTATCATGCTGCTTTTGGACTGACTTGTTTACTCCCTATACAAATTATTACTACAAGCTCACCAGCCTTCTTCCGGTTTATGTCCGTTGTAAGTTGGGTTTCATCTCCTCTGTTCAGGATGTTCTTGCTGCAGTGCTTCACATATCAAGAGGTCTCGAGAAGATCTATACTATTTGGGAATCTGTGACGATCTTAAAGGAACACTAAAGAAACCAAAACAACTTTATCTTAATGAATCAGATTTGGTGTTGATATAATGCCCCGGCAGTCTCACTGCTCAATTCTCTGCCACTTAGGAGTTAAATGACTTGCTTTACACAACCCTAGTCACACCTCCCTGCATTTGACTTGCACAGCCTTCCTAAACACTTTTTGTATAGAGAGATCTAATGTTTATACGTTCTTTGTTGCAAATTCTATTTAAGTTAGAATTTAAATGTCCGAATGTCCGAATTGCTGAATTTCCAAAGTGCAGAACCGAATTGCTGAATTACGGAATTGCCGAAGTACCGAATTTCGGAAGTGCTGAACCGAATTGCCGAATTTCGGAAGTGTCAAAGTGCTTTGGATTTCTGAAAAGTGGCATAACAAGAGAGGGAGGGAAAATTACGTGAATGATGACAGGAATCTAGACCAATAAGCTAATTCCTGGCACTGAGAGTCCCATATATGTGTAAGTGGTTGTGGTGGCAGTCCGGGCACCTAACCCTACCTCTGTATGTGTAAGTGATTGTGGTGGTTAGGGTTAGGGGCAGGGTTAGGGGTAAGGGTAGGGTTAGGGGTTAGGGAGCCCTACAGATGTGTAAGTGGTTGTGGTGGCAAGAGAGCGATGCTTACGAATGTCCAAAGTCCCAAATTGCCAAAGTCCCGAATTTCGGAAGTGCCGAACCTAACCAATTTTTTTGCCCCTAGAGCTCAATAATCAGAAACAAAAGTAATTAACTCCTAGATGCAAAGAACTGAGCAGTGAACTGGAGGGTCATGATCTATACACAAAAACTGTAGTATCACTTTACACTCAAGATGCTTGTGTTTAAAATGGTAATGGTAATGCAATATGGTAATCTGTTACCGTCACAAAGAGGGAAAATAACACGGATTGTTTTTATTCATTTATTTTTTATGATCACCGTCCTTTGCAAAGCTTGTACAAAATCTACAGTCATAGTGTTTATGGTGGATACCTTGAAAGGGAAACTTCCCTGGAATTTTTAATATCATGTTTATTTATACCCTACATTTAGTAAATACGTATTTGTGAGGTGTGAAAAACCACAGCAATCTATGTAAAGAAAGCAGAAACGGAGAACTTATACAATATTTCTACTCATTCACCTCAATGTGGCTGTGCTTGGACTCAGCTGGGTTATGATGTCAATCCATTGTACA